CAATCACGAAATCATAAAGTATTTAAAACGGTAAACCAAAAACACATTCTCCATTATAACGATTAAAGATAGAAATAAATTAAAATCCAAAATAACGATTAGGTACACGGTGCTAAAAAAATTGGTTGCTTGTACTTTCTATTTCATACGGTAGGGGTGGTAGAGCAGGACTAAAAAATAATTTTGACATTAGAAGAAAATAATCCTGGTTACGTTCGGTTAAAATTATACCCTATACTTGTATTAACATCATGCTTAGTGCTTTATCTAAAAGAAACTGTCTTTTTCGCTGATATAATCATGTAAACCTTGGCATAGTTCAGATAAGCGGACATACGGATTCTTTCAATGTTATGTTACATTTCCTATGGATCTGCACATAATGTAAGCCGCTTTAGTGCCTTCTGTTGGACACCGATAAATATTTAGTAGGATATTTTTAAATTATCGTGCAAGATAATCCAGGACACTGATTATACACAACCTTGAATAGAATTAAACACACCAGTAGAAAGCCGACTGGGGCGGGGACTTTGGCATATCCTAGATTTATCATCGGGACGCCATGGTCGAGTATTTGGAGGTGCGCACTACCACTCCTTAGGACCAGCGTCCGAGCCCTGGTCCGAGTGATAGAAAATGTTATGAGCAGTTATTCTGGCAAATACGATGAGGGCATATATATAAAGAGAACGAAAGGATGCCATTTTGAAAAGTTTGGAACTCGTTATTGAATATTCATTAAAAAACTACAGCTGCTTCTTATTCCCAAGCTTCCGCGTACCTCGAAATAATGTGAATTGGATTGGCTTGTCCGTCGAGCTCCGCCCCATCTTACAGTTTCTCTCTTTTCTCTCTTTTTAAGTTTGACGTTGGAGAGTTTAGATCAGAGGTGGGCAGCTTCGACAGAGAATTTTTGTAGTGTGCGAGAAATTGATGTCACTGTGTGCGTGCGAACAAGTCGTGCGGTTGAATGAAGCTTTCGCTGCGTTCTAAAGCAGAGCGTGTATGTATACGCGAATATGCCCGCCGGGCAGGCGCCGCCCAGTTCTGGTTTAGATACAAGGAAACCCCAGAATAAAAATTATACTAATACAAAAAGATATATACTAGATCGCGTCGGTATGCATAAATGAGTTAAGACGGATCCACCGTTCGTGTCCTGATACGTTTTGTTGGTAATTTTACTCGCTTTCACCCATTCTGTTTCAATGAGAGCGCAACAAAAATGTTCCGAACGCTCTTTGTTCGAATAAGATTGATTTTGATTTTTGTCCGAACGACTTGATAACTTAGCTCTATCTCTATCACTAACATGAACGCACTCTCACTTTTCAAACTTGCCATCCGACCTAGCCTAATGTACACTTACTAGTGAAGCCGCATGACGCCCCAAAATTGAGTTTCAAAAACTTAAAAAATATACTAAATGTTAGTCGGAGTTATAAGAGATTCGAGTGCCATATTTCATCAAAACCGTGCAGCCGTTTCTGAAGGAAGATCAGTCTCGCATAGTGTATGTTTTTATTTTCATCGAATTTCGAATCACCCTATATCCATTAAAACTGTTCTTAATTATAAAAATAAAACTTTGTCATACATCTATAGGCTAAGGTCTCTAATTTGACCTCTTATTTTTGAAATTCCTTCTCAAAAGTATTCTCAAACTAAAATCTTCTTAAATCTCTTTCGTCTGACATTTCAATGATACACATGTATTTCAATAAACTGATGAACTAATTCAAAGTTGATTGTTCGAACAAATGGCAACCCTCCTAAATAAAGGTCAGGAATAAATCCCTTTCAAATCCATTTAAATTTTTACCCATCTTTTAATAATTCATCCAACTTACAGATTAATTTGAATTTAACTTTTTAAACACGTGGCAACTCTCTTTAAACAATTTAAATGTTCAAATTAAAGATTTCTTACCATTATTTCGTTTGACTGCGGTATTTTTATATTTCATATAATTTTTTAATTACTTAATTGAGTGAGACCATTCAAACAGGTGGCAGCCCTCTTCAAAAGCATTTGCAAGCTTAATCATTGTTAGCTCTCCTTCGCCGGACACTGCGATACATATTTTAATTAACTGATGAATTAAATGGAATTTTAATTTTCAAACATGTGGTAACCCCGCTAAATACAGTTTAGAAATACAAATTTGTCAAACCCCCTTCGATTGATACCCATATTTTAATAATTCATTTAACTTATAAAATAATTTGAATTTAAATTTTTAAACAGGTGGCAACCCTCTTCCAACACCTCAAAAATATTCCTGGCGGTGAAACTGAAGATTTCTTAACACTCTTTCGTTTGAGATCCATATTTTGTTATTTCGTATAACTTCTGTATAATTAAACTAAATTCGACATTTCAAGCAGGTGGCAACCCTCTTCAAAATATTTTCAAACTACTAGTTTCTAAAACCCCTTTCGTTTGACACCCATATGGGGATACATATTTCTCTTACCTAATATGATTTTTCAAACAGGTGGCAACCCTCTTCCAACACCTGAAAAACATTATTGGCATTAAAACTGCAGATTTCTTAACACTTTCTCGTTTGACATCCATATTTCGATATTTAATTTGTGTATAAGTCAACTAAATTCGACATTTGAAGCACATGGCAACCCCCTTCAAATATTTTAAAACTACTAGTTTCTAAAACCCCTTTCATTTGACACCCATATGGTGATACATATTTCTCTTACCTAATATCATTTTTTAAATTTAAAACAAATATATATCGAAAAATATTTCAAAATATTTCGTCGCTTTTAGCATCGTGTACTTGTAATTCCAAAAAGAAATATATTTTCTAATGCTCATATTAAAACAATAATTGTACGGCTATCATTCACTGTGTATGAAATGGATCATCTAAGCTCACTAAGAAGCCGCACAATCTATAAGTAACTTGCATTAAATAATATACAGATATACGTACTATGTACATATAAATGTGTATATGTATATAACGTCATATCATCTTATGTAATAAATATACTTATATGTTGATCTCAACTAAGTACATACCTAAGCACAAACTCATACATTAGCATCTATGACTCTTTAAGTAGACCAGTAGAGGCTTTTGGGTGCCAAGTGATGTCAGAATGCCACCACAATCGCCACTTACAAGTATCACTAAAGCAATCAGCTTAGCATCGCCACCACTACACTTACACACATACATATGTACATACATATATAGTGCTTATGCAAAAAGCATCCTTCCATCCCCACCAGCGCCACAACAGGAAAACATTGGAGCCAACAACGCCGCCATGTATACATATATAAGGGCAGATATACTATACATCTACTGCCTGCCACATATGATATGCTCAAGAGATCCTTAAGTTAAAGCTGTGGCAGCCTCTTGAGCACGAAAACTCGGTGGTAAAAAAAATAATCATAAAAAAATAAGTGCAATACACCCGAAAGTAGTTATGTGCAACTTATAAATGTATAACTACTCGTATATGAATATGGACTTACATACATATGTATTTACCTTCTACACCACATACATATATTAGCGCTTATGCAATATAATTCTGCATGCTTGCAACATGGAAGTCTGCTTACTTTTGAGCGCATGTGTCTGTGCATGCGGCATGGAAAATTTCTGCTGATGTTAGCTTTATTCATAAAATAAATGAAGTATTTAGTTAAATTGCGATCTATTGCACGTTCTATGGTGACTGCCGCTTAGGCGGTAGAGCAGTGGCTATTGCTATTGCAGTCGTCGTTTCTGTTAGTGTTGTTGTTGTTGTTGAAGTACTTAGTTGCATTCATTGTGGTGGGCATGGCAGCTGAAGACATACAACTGCGTCGCTGTGTGGCATGGCAAGGAAACTTGAATGAATGACTTACGTTGTGGCGGCAGTCCGTTCTGCGGTACCATCGCTTGGCATGCGACATAAAACAGCAGCGAGTGCAGAAACAAATGCAGCAGCCAGCAGCATCAGTACTCGCCACAGCAATAGATCTGTGGTATGCATGTCTGATGGCATCAAATTGAAGTAATTTGTGGTGAAAGATGAGTGACTGATGGTTGGATGCGATGTGAATATGGCGCGCGTAAGGGGAGGCGGAATGGTAGACGTTGTTGGTAACACAATTGTAATAGGGGATCCATGCTATACTTGACGTATAAATCGAGACATTTGGTGGATTTTTTTCAAACAACTCCCTACTCCTGAAATATAAGCACACTTTGAAGAATATTGTATTCCTCCTCTCTACCTAATTTCTTTTCCGTCCCTATAAAATTGCTCTCACATTAGTTCGGACGATGCTCGACCTACAATGCTTTATGCACTAATCGATTGCGCATATGTATGTAAAAAAGTCTTATAAATTTAAAGGCAGCTCCGAGAAGACCATTTGACATTGCCCATGCAGCTGAAAGCATGATTGTCTACTTCAATGGGCAAATTGCCCATTCCGTAACTGCCCTAGGTCACATCTACAATTTTAGCAATTAAATCATCAATATGCGGTGTTATTCGTAGGTCCAAATAGTAGTTGTAATTTGGTTTCTCAAGATTTTCAAAATAGGATTTTTTTAAGGCTGGCCTCTTCATTCTACCCAAATCTTTTGCCATGGAGTGACTTCTACAGGCTTGAAAACTGCAAAAAGTTGCTTGATTGTGCCCTGCTGGCCACTGGTGTATTGTGATGTCTCCAAGTTTCATTCATGCTTACGAAACAACACAAAATCTCATCCCTATTGCCAAAAACTCTTTTACAGTGGTTCATCGTTGCGCTTATGGTCTGGTGTGAGCAACAGTGTTGCCGTTGAGAAGTTTCAGAAATTCGCAAAAAAGGGGTAAATGACGAAAAAAAGGGTCACCATATTATTTTTGCTTGTCTTTACTAGTAGTAAAAGAATAAATCTGAAAACCAAAGTCAAAATAAAATTTACATGTATTATAAAGTAAAATAGCGGATAGTTTTTAGTGATGCATTTTTTCGTACTTATAGTAGGAAATATTTTTTAATAGCATGGTTCTATTAACATTTCCTTAAAAAATCTCTGAGAAGGGGCAAAAGTCGCACATAATTTTGGAAAAGGGTCAAAACATCAAAGTCGGGTCGAAGGGTATAGGTGCTTAAAAAGGGTCAAATTGCCCCTTTACTCGCGCAACGGCAGCACTGGTGAGCAACTATTTTGTACAGTTTCATGCTCCGATCTTTAAATACCACTCCAAGGAAGTCATCCGTGTTTTACGTTGCCGTCTGTTCTGGGGCCTATTTCATAAAAGTGACAGGTGCGACAATTGTCGATTATTCTATAAAATTTCACTGCCAGAATTGTTGCCAACATTTTTCCTGTTTCATATACGTTTGTAGGCAAATGTGAAAATTTGTGGAAAACGACAGTGATAATATGGAATATTGTCGACAATTGTGCTGACAATTGTCACTCTGACAAAATTGTCGCGACAATGGCGACAAAACCAAATAGCTTCGTTGGAAAGTCTTCACAGCAGAGTTTTTTACTTTTATTTATATGGTAATTGCGCTTATTTCATTACTTTTCAATAATTTTTAATATTTCTTAAAACTAAAATAATGCAAATGCAATTATTACATATTATTTATATATAAATTTCATATGACTGGCGAAAATTTTGTCAACGACAATTTTAAAACCCGACAATGACAATTTGTCACTATTTCAATGGGATTTCTCATGGAATTTAAGAGGTGGTGACAATTGCTTTTATGAAACAAAACACCCACCAAACTGTCGAATTGTCACTGACAACATGGATAATGCCTGTCGTTACAACATTATCACCGTCGCTTTATGAAATAGGCCCCGGGACGACCTAAACATTCGGTGTCACTTTTGCTGATACGACCACAACGGAATTCAGTAAGCCACTCCTTACCATTGAAATTGATGGTAAGGAGTCCTTTTCCGTAGTTTTGGGGATGTTTTTTATGCAAAAGATAAAGATTGCTGAGCACATGAAACCCACCTTTTTTATTATCGTCAAAATTTACAAATACGTCTGACTTACATAGCTTTCTCAACATATCGGTTCCTAACCCAACTTTTTTTTTCAAAACTTACTTTTTGATGCAGAACTTCAACTAAGTGCTCTAAGAGCATCAAAATTCGAAAATATGGCTTAAGTTATCTTCACGGTTACGGCTCGATATGATAGCAGATAGGAGCAAAAATTCGAATCAAACCAAACGCGTAATAAACATATGTACCTTTTAGCTTCATTTAACTACGAGTTTCCTTTAAGAATGAGAGCTGTTCCTCGTACTTTGTGTCTAGCAATAAACAGAATAAATTTTGATGTAATGTGCAACGATTTTCCGCCATCCCTTGTCAAATTTGGTTTGGTGACAAACCGGTTCCGACGTTGTACCCTCTTCAGTGTAATTTGTCGTCCTGTTTTTTTCGTTAAATTTTACCATAGAGATTTTGAGCGCTTTACGGCATCAATATACGTCGAACCTACAATTTTTGTTCTTTAATTTGCAGAGAAAAAATTAAGAAGTTATTGAGTGTGAACTCAGGGCTAAGCAGCGGATACATCTGCTCTTGCTTAAGGTTTTTTTTTAGTCTTTTTTCTATCTAGATCCCTACCTCTACCCCTGTTCCTTATAATTACATATATGTGTGTTATTCTGTTTTCCTTTATCTTCATTTTTATCTTTATACTCTATCGATAACAAAATCGATAGTAACATCCAACAAAATACCGATGACAAAACTAATAAAATATCGATAACAAAATCGATGACAAATTGGATAAAAAGTTCGATAGCAAAATCGACAATAACATTGGTGCAAAATCGATTAGAAAATCGATAAAAATATCGATAACAAAATCGATGAAAATATCGATAACAAAATCGACAAAAATATCGATTATTATATCGATACACTCCGAAGATATCGATAGCAAAATCCATAACAATATAGATAAAAATTTCGATAACAAAAGCGATAAAAATATCGATTATTATATCGATAAGTTCCGAGAATCTCGAAAATCCCAAAATAGTTCACAGATTGAGTCTCTGTGTATCCATCTACATATATCCTTTTCTCTATACTTACCTTTATTTTAATCTTTCTTCCTCTATCTTCATCTTTACTTTTATCAGTATCCTCATTCTCATCTCTTTCTTTATATTTATCTTTGTTTTTATACCCGAGCGCACTTGTGCACAAGGGTATATTAATTTTGTTCACATAACGGTTGTTTGTAACAGCCAAAACGAATCGAGATAGATATAGACAAATGTATACATAAATGCTCAGAATGAATAGAGAAGTCGATTAAGCCATGTCTGTCTGTCCGTGCGTCTGTCCGTCCGTCTGTGTACACGATAACTCGAGCAAAAATTGAGATATCTCAATGAAATTTGGTATGTAGGTTTCCATTAATCCAAGGTAGGTTGGTATTGAAAATGGGCGAAATCGGACTGTAGCCACGCCCACTTCCCTTATAACGGTAATTTCCAGAAATACGAAAACTGCGATATTTTAGTAACTACTGAAGATTATTCACTTAAAATTGATATTTACAATAATCTTCAGACGAAAAATAAGAATATTATAAATTTTTGGAAAATGGGCGCAGCCACGTCCACTTATGGTTAAATGTGTATAACTTGGTAACCGCTCCACCAATTTCTTCCAAACTTGGCACAGTTATTGGCCTTGCTACAGCATATCAAAATTTTTTAAATCGGACAATAACCACGCCCACATCCCATATAACGGTAATTTGGAGAAATACGCAATCTTCGATAAATCAGTAAATATTAAAGCTAATTCATTCAAAATTGATGGTTGTAACAACTCTTCACCAAGAAATATGTTTATGATAAAATTTCGGAAAATGGGCGTGGCACCGCCTACTTATGATCACATATACATATGTATCTCGGTAACCGTTATACCAATTTGTACCAAACTCGGTATGGTTATTGTGCTTGCCACATAAAAGCAAAACATTGAAAATTATTGAAATCGGACTAAAATTTAGGCCGATTTTGATATAATGGTAAATTTCATAAATGCTTGAAACTTCAATATTTCGAAATTTAAGGACGCTAATTTATTCAAAATTGATACACCCCGGCTTACCATGTAGTGGTAGCTTTCGGAAAGGTGAAAAAACATATATTTAATACTTGCGCCGGGTATTTAATATTCGGCTCCGCCCGAACTTAGACTTTCTTACTTGTTTTAAATGTTATTCTTTAACCTTTTATTAGCAAGGTTTTGTTAAATTCATACCATGTGCATACACTCAAGAAGCACTTGTTTCGCCTCAACCATTTTCGTTGCATCATTTCCGTTGAATTTGCCAATTTACTCCCAACCAACCAACCGCCGCTAAAGCAGTATCACTTCAAAAAGGTTTATACATTGAAAAATATATAAAAACGTCAATTTATGAAGCTCTTTAAATCTACTTTATTTTTTATGAATAGGGCCATTAGTATTTTTTCCAAGATGGCTTCCTTATTAATCTTTAACAACACAAATAATGAAATTTCAGCTGGCTACCACATTTTACCTTTGAAAAGTCCAAAATATTTATACGGATCGCACCTCTACCACACGCCTGTCTTCTGGCGCTATAGAAATCTACTTTAATAAGCTCTATTAAAACTTCGTTCACATTATTTGGCAGGCGTATAAAAATAAGTTAAATATATTATGCTTCACATAATTTCAATAGCAAGCCATTTTATTGCTCTAAATTTGCCTGTATGTAGAATAAACAGATTGTTGTGTGTATGTATGGATGTGTATATATCATAAATAGTTTCAAAGTCTTAATTACTCAAATCTCGAATCTTACACCAGCAGGTCGTTAATTAATAATTTTAATTAGACATTACAACGAAATTCTGATTCCGATAATTTATGTACCTACGTATGTAGGTATGTATTTCCATACTATGAAAGGAATGCCAACTATTTAAGAAGATGGCACCTAGAGTATAGATTTTTTTGCGATGAATCCCTTGAATTCCATTAAACCAGTTTTACGCGACTAATAATAATTTTGATAACAATCGCAAACCTGTCGCTGTACTGGTGAAGCCGAATACCTCAAGGCCACTTGTCACTACACAATTTAAAAGGGGAGAATGAAACTGATTGTGAGGTAATACGTAGGCACATATGCCTATTTTTTTTTCTACACATACATACATACTATGTGCTAAGGTACACTGGTGTATAAAAAAATTGGGACAGAACGCAGCAAAAAATCGGTAAACGCTTTTAGTGGTTTCGAGTTCAAGAATGTTTATTCAATGAATTTTTCCCTACTTGACCTTCAACTGACCACGAACCTGACGTAATGGAAGCTAACGGACTTCGCATTCAGCGTGTCGAATAACATAGGGATATATAGGTTTGGTTTAATATGCATAAACTTTTTTGTGTAAACCTGTGTAATCGTGTTTTCTTTTTACTTTTATTTTTTTCAATCATATTGGTTACAAGTAGTTATAAGTTATTATCAGATTTATTTTTTTAGATCATAAAAGATTTACATCAGTCATAAAAACGCAGTCTCCACCATAAGGGTTAAAAATTAATTAAAAAATTAATTTGGCAGAAAAAATATAGATTAGTATTTATTGGAAAATAAAGAATAAAAAAGAATGATTTTGCAATGATCTAAGAGTAAAAATGTTCATATTTAACGCTTATTTTCGATCCCTAGTTTAATATCTCTGGGTAAAATACTCGAGAGCTTATCGGAGAGTATTTATAATTGGACAAGATAAGCAGGAGTCAATGAAATTTCAGAAATTTTGGATCTGATACTTTTTGCTAGAAAGTATAAGATTCCATCTTGGTCTCTACCCAAACTAGGAAATATTACGTTAACTTGAAAAGCATTTAGCAAATATCTAGGAGCTCAACTCATAAGATGTCTTAGTAAAGATTCCGGGGGTACAAAGAAAAGACGTATGTACTTCAAAAACTGGAAGGCTGTTAAAAGCTTTGAGGAACTGACCCGTTGCGGACTACTTCTACTTCAGCAAATTCCAAACATATATTCGATAGACATAGTCATGAAACAATT